TATTATAAATATCAAAGAAATTATATATCTATCCTGGGATGGGAAAGATGAGGGAGGGTTATGCAAAGAGGGGGGTTCTTCTCTTCCCTTTCCTCAGACAAGCAGGAGAAAGGGAAGAAGTTGACCTGCCCGTGGTTCCCTCTCTCCTGTCCCAGCTCCTAAGGAACTAGCACCCCCTGATGTTGGTGCTAAGAGATCAGGCACAAAGCCCAGGAGAGGAGGAGCCTGGGAACTCAGAGGGCAGGACTTGGAGAGAAAATTTGTTTTCTAGGCTCATTGGCACTTATGCCTCTTCAGAAAAGGGGTGATAGCCCCCTGACAGTGGTGGGGGAAGGAACTAGACTGAGTCATTCTCCCTTTTTGGGGAAGGGGTTTAGGGTGGGTTTCAACTAGCCCCTCAAAGCCTTCCCTAGTTCAGTTAGCATTATTTTTAAATCCAAGGCCGGGAGAGAAGAATCCAAAAAGCAATATTTTTCATCACATGCCAAAAACTGGGGCTAGAGGCAGAGTGGCAGGCCTAGGCCCCTCCACTTGTCTCCTGGGGGCTACCCCTCAGCCCACCTCAGTATGGTGCCGGGTAGAGGGGACACCTGGGTTCTAACCTCTAAATTGGGGAGACCCCAGCCTCTAGACAGAGGCCCTTTTTCTTTTTTATTCTGATTAGCCATTTTAAACCAACAAGGAATAAAAAGAAACCCTGATCTAACCAGCTGCCCTGCCTTGTGTTCTTCTGTCTGGTTACGGCTGGGCAAAGGATCTCTGGTCCGGTGATAGAGCAGACCGCACAAGCTTCTCCGGTCCAAAGTGCACTTCAGGCAGCATGGTCCTGAATGAACCACTTTAAAAGTCCGTTTTTATTTGGATGACTTACTCAAAATGATAGGAAACTCTTTCATTCACCAGAGCTGGTAATTTCAAAGATTAGAGAATGTTTGATTTGTGACCAAGTTGTTCCCAAATAATAGACTTATATTTGTAAAGTACAGGTCATTTTTTGTAGTAGCTACAGGTGAGATGGTGAAAGTTCAAAGTAAGAAAGCAGGTTGACATTGCAATTGTGGTCTCATCATGAACTTTTAAAGGTGCCTTTTCAGATATTGTAATACAATTCTGTAAACTGGACAGATTTTTTACTTTTTCATTCCACCAGCTGTTCTGTGGGGAAAAGGACAGTCTCCTCCTGTGTGATTTTACTGCCTCTGCAAACCCTGCTGGAGGGTCAGCTCAGAGTTGGTTCTGACTCAACAGTAAAATCCCCCAGCATAATTGAGGTTTCTCACCTTGGGTGAAATACTAGATAAAATCAACTGAAAGAGTAGTGGCTTGCATGCACAGCTCTAAGAACAACTCTGGCTCGATACTGCTGTCAGGTTTGAAGTCATTTTTTGATGACTTCAGGCAGCATGGTCCTGAACGAACCACTTAAAGAGAGTCTGTTTTTATTTGGATGACTTACTCAGAAACTGATGGGAAACTCATTCACCAAAGCTGGTGATTAGAGAATGTTTAGGAGTAAACATTAGAGAATGTTTAGGAGTGTTTTTACCTGTTAGGCCAAGTAGTTCATGGTCTTGAGCAGGAGGTGCATCAAAGCCCTTTAAAATAGACTCTGCTTACTGTAGGTTCACATCAGTTGGCCACAGGCTTCAGGCCTTGCTGAAATGCACTAGCAACTCTGGGTGCTATTTCACATTGCTTTTTGTTTCACCCCATTGGCCTAGAACACACAGCTGAGCCTGGATCCTTGGGTGAAGCTGTAATTTTCACTGTAATTATGAGATTGTTCTTTTTCAGCTGTGGGCAGGTATTACAAGTCCTCTCTCATCCTGATGGGACAGCTTTTGGATCATGTCTCCAAACTCATTTTGGTTGTTTCCTTGCCTTCTAATGACAAGACCCAAAGCCCTTCTTCAGATCTGAGCAATGCCTGAACTGAAATGCTCATTCTTACAGAAAGGCACTTAAACTCTAATAGATAGCCACACTTTGACCAGTTTTAAAAAATGGCTTTCGTTCCCCCCCTTCCTCCTTTTTCAAGAAAGAAAACAAACCTGAACAAATATCAAATCATACAGACTACAAGAGATGAAACAAAAGTTCCTGGAAGAGTAGATGTCTCTTGAGAGTGAGCAATGCTGAGCCTTTTCTAACATGACAACCTCAACTGAGTGCAGCAGGTGCTGACTTGGGCCCCCTCTAGAAGTGGACACTCTCAGCAGAGCTGGAGGGCCTGGCAGGTTCAATACAGCAAGAAAGGCCATCCTGGCACAGTCCAGTGGTCCTGTTAGCGAAGGCTGCTGCTGCTGCTGGCCTGGGAGCTGCCCATACCTGGGTGGTCTGGACTGTGTCGATTCTGGGGAAGACAAGAGAGTAATTAAGAGCTAGAAGAATGGGAATCCTAGCACACTTAATTGTGTGGTCACAGGAAATCCAAGAAGCAGGTGACCAAATAAAACCAGAGACGACCACGAAGTGTAAAATCAGGAAAGGAAAGTGTCAGGGATGTATCTTTTCTCTGCATCAATTCAATCTGTGTTGAGCAAATCATTCAAGGAATGAACACTATGACAAAGAATATGGCACCAGGATGGGCAGACAAATCATCAGCAATCTGTGTTTTGCAGAAGAGAACCTTGCTTGCAGAAAATGAAGATCTGACTTGAAACACTGACTGTAGAAAAATCAGACAACAGCCTTCAATAGGGATCACACATCAACGTAAAACTACTCTCCGGGCACCAAAAATATCATGATACACGGAAGCTGTCAATGACTTCATTTTTCTTGGAACAATTAATACATGGTAATAACAGTCAAGAAATCAAAAGCCAGTTGCACTGGGAAAGGCCGCTATTGAAGACCTCTCCAAAGTGCTAAAGTGCATGTTACCAAGACTAATCTTGCACCTGATATTAGGCACAGTATTTTCAATTGCTTCCTATGCATCTAAAATTGGACAGGGAATAAGGAGGCCCAAATCAGTGCCTCTGAATTTTGTTGGTAAAGAGAAGCAAATCTTGAAGGTATTGCAAGCAGGTTTCATTTAGATGGAAGGATGATAAAATTTAGTCTCGCATACTATGGGCATGTTTTAAGGAAGAGCTAGTCCTTGGAAAAAGACATCATATTGAGAAAGGTAAAGGGGTCAGAGAAAGAGCAAGATCCTCAATGAGGGGGCCCAAAACAGTGACTCTGTCAACGGGTTTGAATATGATGCTGATAGGAAGATAGGGCTGTTGATCGGATCTGTTCTTCAGCCCCCAAGAATAGGGGCTTTCCAGTGACGTAGCTTAGGCTGCTGTTATGACAACCAGGCATATCAATCATTCCTGGCAGGACTGCTCTGAGTAGTAGTTGACTTAATGGCACCTAACCCTTCCCTGGACCTTCAGGTCCAACTTGAAGTAAAGGCCTTGAACTCTACTTGGGACACAGGGAGCCTTCACTGGGCTGCAATAATGAGCTCCTTCCCTACCTTCTTTTTCTTCTTCTCTTTCTTCTTTCTTTTCCGCTCAGGATCCTCCTCTTTTTTCTTCTTCTTCTTTTTGTGATCTGAATCGGATGGTGTTTCTGTAGGAGACAATAGGTGCCCATCACCCACAGCTCAAAATTCTCTTACTGCTACCAAAACCCATGTCTGGGGCAAGTGCTTTTCTCTAAATTGCCAGGAAGGTTACAGAGCTGCTGTTCCAGCCCATCCCAAGTCCCAGCTTGCCCAACAGACCCCAGTATACTAGTTTCTTCAGGAGATTTTGGGAGCCCAGGAATCTGTATGGAACTTAACAGAGGTTACCTCTGTAAGGTTGAGCCAGGTTCAGGTCAGGTGTGCTGGCTTTAACTAAAGTCTCCCCTTCTTACCTGGGGGGACAGGATCCTGGGTACGGCTCTGTTTATGTTTGTGTTTATTCTTCTTCTTGGGAGGCTGAATATGCATCAGGCGACACTGCTCCGGCAACTGAAGAAACCACAGGAAGGTTCAGGTAAGTACAGGCGAGGAATTCTGCTCCCATCTGTCCTGCTCAGTCAGTTATGAACAGAAAAAAAACATCCTTTAAGCTTCCCCATTTGTTGTCTCCCTCAGAGGGGACTCACCGGGCCAGTATGGAGGCGAAAGCCAGCCAGCAAGGTCCCTGTGATAGGATTAAAAGAGCCACTAAGAATTGGGGGCTTTTCAATGAGGGAGCGGAGGCTGCTGTTATCATGGGAACCAGGCAGGTCAATCATTCCTGGAAGGTCAGGCAGGAAATTACTTAGCTTCTCCTTCACCTTCTTCCCACAGAATTTGTTATAGGCATGTTCCAGGTTGTAGTGTGTGATCAGATTGGTACTGCCTGTCAGCTCTGTGTTGCCTGGAGGACATGGAGAAGAACAGTAAGATCAGTTCAATGGTCAAGAACCAAAGGAAAAGTGAAAGATTATTTTTTAGAACCAAAATAAAGACTTGGAATTATAAAATGAAAAAATTTTAAAGTTAAAAAATGACCAAGCCAAAATAAGCATTAACTTATATATGATAAACTCTGAAAACAGAATACAGGCAGTCCCTGGGTACGGACATCCCGTAATTGAGAATCAGACTCCAACCTTCATAAAGCTGATTTACATTGGGGAGTGGGGAATAAAAAGGCTCTGGTGGCCTACTGGCAAGAAACTGCACTGCAATCTCAAAGGCATGCGGCTCGAGGCCCCCAGCTGCTCCACGGGAGAAGGATGGGCAGTCTGATAACTGCCTCTGAAAACCCGCTGGCGGGTCAGTACAAAACAAACGGGCGCTATCATGCACATCAAAACATCGCAATTGCTGTACTATCACATTGTAGCGTAGCTGGTGACTTCGTCCACAGGGAGTTTCACTGCTCACCTGAAGACGTCTCTCTTGCTGTTGTCCACCTTAGGGCAAAGATGGGTAATATCTCCTGTGATTTACAGCCTCAGAAATCCAATGGAAGGTCAGCTATGAGTCAGTTCCAACTTGACAGTAATGTGTTTTAATGAGAATTATGTTACAGCTGTTTAGTGTTACTTGGAAGCATTTTTTAATGCTTGTAGTCCGAGGACTGCCTGGAATACTTTAGAATGGTTGACTGGGATGGTAAAGTGGAAGAGTTAGCAACGATCCAAATAGGGCAGAGAGGGGAAACTGCTGCAGGCCAAAGGGAAGGCTGGTAGTTAGCACTTCCTCTGTGCTCCCCACTATTCTGACTGCTTTCACAAAGCACACTAGTGAGAAATCAATCATGTTCTCTGACAGGTGGTGGTGGTAAGTGCCTTCCAATTGTAGACAACTCAGCAACCCTATGAATAAAAGTCTTGAACACGAAAACCTTTCATCTTCAAGTTTACAGAGTTTCTGGAGGCAAGCTATTTTGGAAGTGGATGCCACCCCTACTTCCAAGCTGGTTTTATTCAGGAGCTTCACAAAAACTGTTCCACTCATCTTCCAAGACTGGAGAGTAGCTCCAGACTGGCGGCCAAATCCAATCAGCTCACACCCAGTTGTGAGAAACAGCCACACCCCAGTCTCAACCCGAAACCAGACAACACACCTTTGCAGAATCCAGCCATTCCGCTCATCTTCCCAGACTGACGACAGGACCAGGGGAAAAGTACAACTTAGATGCAACCAAGAGTAAAATATGGCCCAGTGGCTGGAAGGTCTTGCCAAAGACCTATTTTTTTTCACTAGCAAGCAACCTTAATTATCTTTACAAAGGAAAACAGTTGCCTAACACTTGTTACCAACATTCTTCTTCCTCATGATATCTATGCTTTCCTCTCGTTCTCTAAACTTACAGTGCTGTGTGGAAGCTGACACACAACTGACCCTTTCATGGGGTTTTTTTTTAAAGAGTAAAGGGAGCTCTGGTGGCCTAGTGGCAAGACGCTGCACTGCAATCCCAGAGGTACACAGTTCAAATCCACCAGATGCTCTGCTGGAGAAGGAGGGGGCAATCTCCTCCTGTACCAGTCAGATCCGATTTGACGGTACACGTAAAAATAATACAGTAAAAATAAAAAAAAAAGTAATAACTTGTTAGGAGCCTCTGTTCCCTATCCTCGCTGTTGTTAGGCCACTTCTACTGTTTGCAGGTCTTGTGCACTAGTCCTGGGAAGAGTGGTGAGGGCAGCAGAGCAGTGTGCCGTACGATCTGCCCAATAAAGTGGCCAAAAACGCTCTTCCTACAGCCTGGACACAGGCAGCTCCAGCTCCTCACAGTGTCTTCACAGGGCCACCTTCTCCATCTCCTTCTGCTCATAATTCTGTAAAAGGTGGCGTCACTCTGGAGAGGCCTGCTGCAGACACTCACTCACCAGTCAGCTGCATCTGTTGTCCTGGATGTCAGTGCCAACCTTGCCTGTTACACCAAAAGGATCAACGTAGTCACCCTGAATCTGAAAGAATGCCACCACCTCCAGTAGGACCTTGCTGGCTTTGGTGTGCTCCTCCCCACTGACCCTGCCATATACATAGCAGCTAAAGGAAGGGAAAAGGAGCGAAAAGCTGTCTTGTACTCGACAATGGATTTTTTAAAAAAAATTTTATACTGGTTTACATTCAACGTTCATATATATTTTCACACCAGACCTTTCCTTTCCTTTCTAATTCCTCCCTCCACCCATCAAATTGTGACTCTATATTTAAGTCCCATCCTCTCGGATCCTCCTACTCATTCACTGATAATGGTCTTATACAGTATTTGTCTTTGAGATTTAGTTCACTTAGCATAATGCTCTCCAGTCCCTCCCACGGTAGACAGTAATTTTAAAAAAATCATTGCTCCTGTGTGCTGCATAATCTTCCACTGTGTGTATGTACCATAATTTCTCAATCCATTTCATCGTGGTTGGGCATTTGGGCTGTTTCTATGTTCTTGCAATGGTGAATAATGCTGCTTTGAACATTGGTGTACTCAACAATGGATTTTTACTTTTTTTCAATCAATCTGCTAAGATCCACCTTGCCTTGGGAGATCAGTGATGAGGTCCAGGATCTGCCTGATCTCTGTCAGCTCCATCAAGTCAGAGAACGGGCTGCTCAGAGCAGTACAGCTTTAGAAGGCGGTAGATATATGTGATTCCAGCAGTGCTGATGACTAATGGCATCCTAACCTATGCCTCACTGTGTGTGACAGCAGCAGACTGCTGGCCTGAGGCAAGGGATGAACCCATGAGGTGGTCTCATTCAAGGAAGAAAGCCTGGAGCAGCTCCACACACCAGCCCATCCTCAGGGCCGACTATCAGCATCCTGCTTCCTGGACTCCACCAACTTGGGGACACTGTGAAACCTTGGTTCCATCTGGCTCCAGTGCCATTGCACTCCAGGACCTTCAATGGCGTCTCCCATCTCTGGGGGCCTCAGACATCAGTCACACACTGAGAATCTGAGAGAAGTGATGGATGAAATCCTGCTTTGCTTGGGCATAAGCCTCTGATTTCTGGTCTCTGATCATTCAGAGGGAGGAGCAGAGTGCTCTGTTCTTGGACATGGTTCTTACTTGGTCTCTAGTGGGTTCTAAGGCTGTAAATTACATGGGAGGAGGCTCTTAAGTTTCTCCTGAGGAGCTTCTGGTGGATTCCAACTGCTAAAGAGGTGGGTATAGCCTTTGAGTGGGCAGCTCCACTCCCTGTGGACTACACCACTAGACAATCCTTTAACATAAGAATAATCATGGTGTTTTGGGGGTTTTTTTAACGATTTTTGAGGATAACTTTTCCTGTTTTCTTAAACTTTATTTTATCATTTGTGTGTACCATCAAATCAGATCTGACTGGTACAGGAAGAGATTTGCCCCTCCTTTTCCAGCAGAGCACCTGGTGGATTCGATCTACATACCTCTGGGATTGCAGTGCAGCTCCCTGCCACTAGGCCACCAGACCTCTAAGAATAATCATGTTTTGATGTGCAATGCAAAAGAGCACCCACTTGTTTTTAGGAAAGCTGTTATTTTTTTTTTAAATATAAATCAGCTTTATGGGGTTTGGTTCATAATTACAGGACATCTATATTCAGGGACCACTTGTATTTTCATATTTTATCATATATAAATTAATGCTTGTGCTGTCATTTTTTTAAACTTTATATTTTTAACTTTATAATTTTCACTTAACTGTCAGTTTTCCTCTAATCCTGATGCCTCATCGTTCTTCATACTGTCCATCTTCTCAAATGATGTGTTCCGTATGCAGACTGAAGATGTGTGCAGAAAGAACACAACCCTGACCCACGCCTTTCCTGATTTTAAGCCATGCAGTGGTTTCTTGTTCCGCATACAGGGAAGTAGGCTGTGAACTTCAAAATATTGCAGCAAGCTCAAACCCTGGGACCATTTTTACCTACCGCTGTTAAGTCAAATACAACTCAGAAGGATCCTTTATCAGGTTTCCAAGGGAGTAAATCTCTACAGGTTAAAACTGTCCATCTTTCTCCTACAGAATGGTTGGTGGATCTTAAACGGTCTACCTTTCCGTAAACAGTAGGCCACCAGAGATCCTTGGCTCATTTTCAAGCCATAAACCACCGCCAGAGACAGAACCTAGATACACTGTGAAAAGTGGCCCGAGGGACGCATGACCCTGAGAATTCATGTCACGCTAGGGTTTGCAGTCGGTCGGGGTCCTTAGTCCTTACAGCACTGATCTGCACACAGGAGGCCTCCAGGGCCTCCTAGCCATGCCCAACAGCCCCTCTCGAGAAACCCACTGGCTGCTTTCGGCCACACCACTAACTTACCGGGCAGTTCCCGCATCAGGTAGAAGGGGCCACAACCGGCCCCAGACTTGTCCGAACCAGTCGGGGCTGTGGTCGCGGAGGAAGGAGCGGCAGTGCCGGGTCCTCCGCCCGGAGGAGGCGGAGGAGGGGGTGGAGGTTTGCCTGGGCCGAAGCCGAGGGCAGCTGGTGGCGGTGGTGGATCAGCCTGAGCGCCAAAGAGCGCAGTAAAATTCTCCATCGTCTCTTCTTCCCCGGCGGTGCTGCGTTACAGGCTGGAGACGGTTTTCATTGGTCAATCCTCTCAAGGGGCATCGCCCCTCCACCTCCAGGAGTCGCTTGACATTGGATGCCACAAGCCCCGTCTTCCTTTTTCCGGTAACTACTTCCGTCGCCTTATGCTAACGTATAGGAAGTGCTACGTATATTATTATGCTCTGATATCTCCACCCACCATGTTTGCATACCGGATAATATAAGTGGAGTGAACGCCAGCTAGAATTACCAATACAGCATCAGATTACGTTTTCCGTCCTACCGTCGTGAGCAGTGGAGAACTGTTTCCGGGTGAACGGAGGTCACATCGGAGGCTCGGGCCCAATAGGATTTCAGCGATTTAAGGAACCCGCCGGAGAGACCGCCGTGAGCTGCTGTTGCCCCGAGTGGCGAAAAGATGGCGGTCCTGGCCCCTTTGATTGCACTGCTGTACTCCGTGCCTCGGATGTCACGATGGTTGGCCCAACCTTACTACCTCCTGTCAGCCCTTCTCTCTGCCTCTTTCTTACTCGTGAGAAAGCTGCCGCCGCTCTGCAACGGTCTTCCCACGCAACGCGAAGACGGCAATTCCTGTGACTTTGACTGGGTGAGCGACCCCCCAGCTGGGGATCCCGTGACCTTGAAAATGCCTGCTCTGGCGGGAGTCCCAGGGTTCACCTTTCCGAGGACATCTCATGTCCCTAAGTCTTTAAGGGGTTAAGCGTAGGGCCCGGACTGTCATTGAGATGGATAGGAGTGACCGCCTCGGGCATGCAAGGCCGGCTGGTGAGAGAGCCTGACCAGCAACCCAGGGTCTAATGACCCGGGGCTCCGATTGCTTCCCTCTCACTAGTCACATTCGTTCACAGCCTTGCTCAAGCTCGAGTAACCTTTTATATGGCATTTAACAGGCTCTGCGGGCGCGGCGGGGGCTCGGCTGTCTGCCAAGCCGTAAATCCCCATTGCTGGGGGCGGTAGCGACGCCTGGGGGCTTCCAGCCGTCATAAACCTTTTGTTATCAGCTCTGTGTGCCCTTCCCAAAGGATGGAAAAGGCTTGTAAGGTGAAGAATACCTGTAAAGATTGCAGCCTACAAAACCCTGAGGGGCTGTTCTGCTCTGTCATGTTTGCTTGCTGTTGATTCTGCAGCTCCTAACAACGGCAGACTAGGTACCAGGCACTGTGCTGAGGCCAGTGGATGCAGGGACAAACCTGTTAGGCATATGGTAAAAGGACAGAAGCACGTTTTAAAGAAGTCTGTTGAAAGCCTCTCGCTGTGCTTTTTGAATGGGAGTGGAGGGATTTCATGGGAAAATGAGATGAAGCCTTTTGCGCCTGGTGGTAAAGCCATGAGAAATATCATCTTGAATTTTGATGTTTTTTTTTTTCCCCGATTGGGACTTGTACCAGACCCCATTCCAGTTATTTTCCCTGCCTCTCCTTTCATTTACATACTTCCTCTGCCCTGCCTGAAACAGTATTACTAGTTAGTTCAGCTTTATTGTACTGTTTCGGAAGATTCTGTTTGTATCTGATATCAATTATAAGGAATCCTGGTGGGATGGGAGCTTAAGTGTTGACTTCCTGACTAAAAGATTGGCAGTTCAAACCCACCAAAAGCTCCAGGGAAGAAAGATGGCATGGTCTTCTCCTATTAGGATTTACAACCCAATGGGGAATTGCCAGGAGTTGGAATAACTTGACACCAGTGGGTTTAGGGGGACTTTTAGGGAGAAAGGGTGAAAAAAAAAGAAAAGAAAAAAAGACTTAAGGATATTAGAATAGTGGTAAAGATTTTAATAAAGATACTGTTTTTAGTTGCCATCCGGTTAATGGATTCTGAATGACCTTGTAGGATCCATTAGAAACTGCCCTGTTTGGTTTCCGGAGCTGCTGTCTTTGTGGAAGCGGAATGCCTCATTCTTCTCTCAAATGCCTCATTCTTCTCTCGTGGAGCAGCAGGGGGGTCCAAACCCAACCTGACTTTACTGTCAGCACTTAACCACCATCACATCAGGGCCCTTGAGGGACTCCTTGGGTGGGTTCTAACCACCCACCACTGGGCTAGTTGTCAGGTACTTAAATGCTTGTACTTTCTGCTCCTTTCCCCAAACACAAACAACCCTTTGTTTGGTTAATTTCTCTATAGAGTGTTATCTGATAATAACAGAATACTAGAAGGTTTCATGTTTTATTGTTATTTTGATTCTTCCCCTGCTCCCCAATTACTTGACTGTAATAGCTGGGTTTTATTTTCCAGAAGTCCTGTTTCACTAGTTTTTCTTGGTAATAGGGATGCCACATTATTAGCGTAAATAATGTTAGTGGTGCAATGTACTACAGAATACACCACCAGAAATAATGCTAGCAGCATTAACAGGTAAACACTAACATTTCAGTGACTTAACAGAATAAAAGTTTATTAAAAAAAAAGAAAGACTCAAGCAGTTATTTTGCCTTTCCTGTACATCATGTCTTTTAAAGGGACTCTGGTGATGTAGTCTCTGGCGAGTTGCGTTGTTAAGTCAAAAGCTATGTATCTCTGGCAGGAGAAGGATAGGCAGTCTCCTTGACGATGGGTCAGCCGACTCAATCAAAGAATTTGAGTTAATAAATGCCGAAAGTATGATAGAATTTTAAGAATCATTTTAGTAGTCCTTTGCTGAGCTAATAAACAATAAATCTAAGCTGTAGTTAGATGGTTTCACACACATAGTTGCTGAAGTGATACAGCTCCTAGGATGTATTTTTGTGAAAAACATTAGAATTTTATTAAAGTCTCTCTATCTCATTTCCACATTATAAGAAATATGGAAGACCCTCTGTCTTAGAGGATTGTTGTGAGTTGGCTTGACTCAAAGGAAATTAGTCTGGTTTATCATATATACATGGGGCTCTCTGGTGGTGCAGTGGTTAACTGTTCAACTGCTCATCAGAAGGTTGGCAGTTTGAACTCACCATCTGCTCTGCAGGAGAAACATGTGGCAGACAGCTTTCCTAAAGATTACAGCCTTGGAAGCTACAGAGTGGTTTTGCTCTGCTCTGCGAGTTGAAGTTGACTCTGTGACAACAGAGTTGTTGTATACCCATGCTCCTTTTGGGAAATAGCTTGTTCATTTCTTTGTCTTGTTTGTTGTCTGCCTATGTGCTCACATAGGTAGAACTTACATTTTAGAAGATCCTGAAAAGGACCTTAAAAGGCTCTGAACGGCTCCCTTCAGCTTTAGAATTAGAGCAGAGATGCACATTTTATCACTGTGAATGTTGTGTGGAGAGGAATGGGTCAGGTAAAACTGACAAACACAATAGACGAATATCAATGGTATATAAAGTTTCTGTAGAAAAAGCTTACCAAGAGTCACACTGAGTTAATTAACATCGTATCTTAACTTCATATTTTGTATCATGCTTTCATATCTATGATCTCATTTAATCCTCATAATAAGTGGCATTTGAAATACATGCTGTTCAGTTGAAGAAACCACAAGTCCACATCTCGGAGGTTGAGTGACTTGGTGAAAGGAAACCAGGCAGGTGGTGTGGGGTGGGGGGGGTGGCCCACCTGCCTGGGGCTTTTCCCACTTCATCTGTTGACTCCAGCCCTTGTTGTCCCTCGCAGTTGAGGTCTCTGCCGGGTTTTGAGGTCTCTCTCTGCCGGGTTTCGAGGTCTCTGCAGGTTTTCAGGTCTCTGCCAAGTTTCAAGTCTCTGCTGGGTTTTACTCTGCATGAGTCTCCCTTGTCCTTTGATCAGTCTCCTCCCTTGACATTTCTGTTGTCTTGATTCTGTTGCAGAGGGAAATCGAGATCCTGATGTTTCTCAGTGCCATAGTGATGATGAAGAACCGTAGAGCCAGTGAGTGGCCTGCAGCGTGGGACGGCAGGAGGGGCTTGCATTTGTGCATGGAGAGGGGTGTCATTTGGAGAACTCATTTCATGCCAGGGGTCCATTTGATTGTGGGTTCCCCAAGCCTCTGGGGACTGCCCCTGGAGGAAGGACAGATAGCCGGGTCCAGGTGCCTGCCGCTTAATCTGACCTGTAACATCTCTGTTGCAGTTACGGTGGAGCAACACATAGGCAACATCTTCATGTTCAGCAAAGTGGCCAACGTGCTTCTTTTCTTCCGCCTGGATATTCGCATGGGTCTGCTTTACATCACGCTCTGCATAGGTGAGGAGCCTGCCTTTCCTTGGATCCTTTGCAAGACTATGTTGGATAGAGGCTTGATTAGAGGAGCCAGATTCTATTCCCAAACAAGTTTCTTCACGCCCTTGCATTTTGCACCTAATTAATGATGTGTGTAGCTTAGATGTCTAGAGTCCGCAAAGTATGTATTCTTTGGTAGCTGAAATTTGTGAGTCGGTTTGGAAGTAAACCCTCTGGCAAGACTATGTTGGATAGAGGCTTGATTAGAGGAGCCAGATTCTATTCCCAAACAAGTTTCTTCACGCCCTTGCATTTTGCACCTAATTAATGATGTGTGTAGCTTAGATGTCTAGAGTCCGCAAAGTATGTATTCTTTGGTAGCTGAAATTTGTGAGTCGGTTTGGAAGTAAACCCTCTGCCTGAGGCCTTGTATGTCCTCTCTTACATCTTCTTTCTGTGTCAAGTGTTCTTGATGACGTGCAAACCACCCTTGTACATGGGCCCTGAGTACATCAAGTACTTCAACGATAAAACCATTGATGTGAGTGTCCCCTCCCTTATGTCCCGGGCCCACTGGGAGCAGCAGCGGCTCAACAGTTTTTTCAGTTGGGAAGCCAAGGGCCTTGTGACTTACGGTGGGAGTAAGAGAAGCGGGGAAGAGGGAGGCAGAATGGGGAATTAAATGCTGAAGTCTGAACGGTCATCAGCTGTGCAATCCAGCTCACTGTTCCCCCTGTGTGGCAGGAGGAGCTGGAGCGCGATAAGAGGGTCACTTGGATTGTGGAATTCTTTGCCAATTGGTCGAATGACTGCCAATCATTTGCTCCTATCTATGCTGACCTCTCCCTCAAGTGAGTACTGCAAAGGATGTGAATTGAGATGCTGCAACTTCTCTCTTTCTTGACCTTCCCCACCCAAAGCTGTCCTCCTCACCTTCCCTTGTACTACTGTTCTCTCTATAGTATATTAATGAATATCTTCTTCTCAGGTACAACTGTAAGGGGCTAAATTTCGGGAAGGTGGATGTTGGCCGATATACTGATGTTAGTGTACGGTATGTAAGGACCTGGGCAGAGGGTGGAAGCGTGGAATTGCTCTGGGTGATGTACACAGATGCATTCATGGAGTCCCTCCTGGGTCCTGCAGGTACAAGGTGAACACTTCACCCCTCACCAAGCAGCTCCCCACCCTGATCCTGTTCCAAGGTGGCAAGGAGGTCATGCGGCGGCCACAGATTGACAAGAAAGGACGAGCTGTCTCTTGGACTTTCTCTGAGGTACCTGAAAGGATGGCCGGATGGTTTGGACAAGAGCATTAGGGAGTCTTTGGAAGACCATCCTGAGTTACCAACTGTGATTCTCCCGTGTAGGGGGTTCTGAGCCATCACCACTACAATTCCACCTTTTAAACTAGTTAACACATGCTTCTCTCCAGTAAATAAAGATAGGTCCTGGGGAGTTCCCTGGTTTTGTGCAAGCTCTGAGAATGATTGGCACCTCTCTGGTCTAATCTTGTCTGGGATTTGCTAAGCTCCGTGATTGGAAAGAAACTCATATGGTGTCTGAATTCCTGTCAAAAATTAGAAGGGAAATTTAAGGTTGTGCTGGAGAGGTCAGCCTTCTACAAAACCCAGTGCTTTAGAATTAAGCCCTGATACATGAATCAAGGTTGTTTTCCAGATTTTATAAAATAATGTACATTTTTGGCACAGTAATTGGCATGTAATGGCCCTTAGATATTAATTGACTTTTGCCCCAGTAAGGTGGCTCTGGTGGTATAGTGCGGAGGGATTGGACCGCTCACTGTGGAGTGGTGCCGTCTGGCTGAAGCAGCTCCCTGGCAGAAAGATGGGCAGTCTCCTTTTTGCAATTTATAGCCTCTGAAAACCTGCTGCAGGATCACCTATGAGTTGGTTTTTACTTGTTGGCAATGAGTTTGATGTTTTAAGTTCCCCTAAGCACCCCAAAAAGGAGGTTAGGGCAAGTTTCTGCCAGCTATGTCTGAATGGAGTAACCACTTGGAGCAAAAGTTAATGTGCCCTGCTGTTAGTCAAAAGATTGGCAGTTCAAAATCACCCAGAGGCACCTGGGAAAAAGACCTGGCCTTTGACTTCTAAAAAGTCGGCAATGGAGCACAGTTCTACTCTGACACTCGTAGGACTGCCATGGGTCAGAGTGGACGTGAAAGTAAATGGTTCCCAAGAGAAGCTCTTGGTACTTCCAGACTGAACCCTGATGAATGCATCTCTTCTACACAGGAAAACGTAATCCGAGAATTCAGCTTGAATGAGTTGTACCAGCGGGCCAAGAAACTGTCAAAGACGAGAGACCGTATCCCTGAGAAGCAGCCTGAGGCCCCAGCTCCCACCACAGTGCCTGATGGGGAAAGCAAGAAGGACAAATAGGAGCCCCGCCTTGGCAGTACCCCCTCTCCTTACTAGTGCTCCTCTCAGGCCACTGAGGAGGCCCTGACCCTTCTTCAACCGCCAGACTGTGGAGTGGCCATGTGTTATTTATACTTCCCCTTTCTGTTGTGCCTGGGGAGGCAGGGTACTGCTTCTGATTTTTAAGGGGTAGCCAAGGATTGTCATGTACTGTCAGGGAGGCCTCCCTTGCCATGGCTGACTATTTCATTGAAGGATGGGGGAGAAAACCCATTTAATGGAGGAGGAAGAGGTCTCTCTTCAAATTTTTATTTCTTGTTTCTTTTTCTCCTTGACTTGGATCAGCTGCTGTCCATATCTCTACCACGCTGTGATTTCATTACTCTTAGTGGACTCACACAGCCTACTTAGATTAAATCCTAACATACAATACCAGAGCACAGAGGCAACGCTAAGATTTTTCCTTGCAGGTCTCAAGGAGCCTTGCTTCTTGAGGCCCTCTGGCTTGGTCTGTGGCCCTCGTGAGAAAGTGTAAGTCTGACTTTGACAAAGGTCCCCAGGCCTTTATTCATCATTGAGGAGTTTTTAATAATGCCTCTACTTTACGAGGCTTGGGAGAGGCATACAGAGACTTTGTGTGATGGGGCCTGGGGGACAAAATCATGGGCATGATTAGGGTTTCTAGTACAGGAACCCAACTACTTCCTACTACCCACCTTTATTTTAATGGTTTTCCATAATAAAAAGATGGATTTCCTTTTGCTTGTGTCTTTGTGAGTCTCTCGGCCAGGCAAAATTCCATTAAATGCTGGGTATTTGTCTGCAGGATTGATGAGAAGAAGGGCCAGTTTCCAAAAAGGAGCAGCGATAGTTCATTGGTTTCAATCTCTTCTTCCATCTTAAACCTGGAGATCCATCCCAACAGCCTGTGTAGCTTGCTCGGCCACACCCCACCTACACTCTGCTGGGTGCTGACCTGCTCTGTGAAGCTGAACAGGTTTCTGGAGCCCTTCTAGACATTCTACTAGGGAGAAAGGCCTGGTGGTGCGCTCCTGAAAAGTGTTATGTGCTGGCAAGTCGCTTGCAACTCATAGTGACCCTATATACAAAAGCTCTGAACCCTGCTCTAACCTGAGCCAATCTTACTGTTCATGACATACCTACCCCCATTACCCCAGTCACTGAGTCAATCCCTCTCATTCAGGGTCTTGTGCTGTCCCTCCACCCTCCCAACTATGATGTCCCTCTCTAAGGACTTGTCCCTCCTTGATACATATGCAAGGTATGTCAGAGAGAATCAATCCACCTCATAGAGGGTCTTCCCCTCTTGCGCCGTCCCAAGCATGATGTCTCTCTCCAAGGACCTCTTTACAACGTGTCCAAAGTATGTCAGACGAAGCCCCAGAGTCCTTGTCTCCAAGGAGTAGCCTGGTTTAACCCTCTCCAGGATGAATCTGTTTGTTTTCTTGGCAGTCCATGGTACATTCAATACTCTTCTCCAGCACCACAGCTCAAAGGCATCAATTCTCCTTCTATCCTCCCTGGCCATTGTCCAACTCTCTGATGCATAACAAGTGATTGCAAAGACCATGGCCTGTATCAGACACACCTTAGTCTCCAGAGTGATACCATTGCTCTTCAGTACCCCGGAGAGGTCCCTAACAGTGGACTTTCCCATCCCAATACGTTTTTTGATTTCCTGGCGGCTGGTGCCAAGAGTGTTGACTGTGGAGTCAAGCCGACTAAAGTTGTTAACAATCTCAATCTCTTCACCATCCATCCTGATGCTGCCAATTGGTCCAGTGGTGAGAATCGGTCTTCTTGACATTCACTCTCTACAGGGCGTATTTGTCTGTTCTCCTGTTCTCCTAGCAGTCCATGTATATTCAATACACTTCTCCAGCACCACAGCTCAAAGGCATGAAAAGTAGTCCGGAAAAAACTTATGACTCTCATCCTTGGAATGGTACAGGACCAGGTGGTTTTGGTTCTGTTGTGCACCGGGTTGCGATAGAAACCAACTGTTTCCTTAGTCCCAGAGTTGGTAGGAGTAATGTGGACAATCACACATCATAGGAACACTTGGAAAAACACGAGGGTTTGGTTTTCATGTGAAAACCTGTGGAGGATCACAAGTCACACTTGACAGCACACAAGTTAGCTAAGTGTGAGGCTGTTTGTTTCCACTTCGAGCTCTGCTTTATGGGGGGTGGGGTCCCCATTTCCGCCTGCGCCCTGCGGTAGTAGTAATGGTCGGGGGGCCTCATACCCCACCCCCAGGCCGAGTGGAGCGCCCGAGGCCCCTCCCCCAGCGCACGAGCACGCCCCAGGCTCAGCCCCGAGCCTCCACCTCCAGCCCACGTGTGGCCCGAGGCCCCGTCCTTAGCTCGCATGTGCGCCAGAAGCCCCGCCTCCCAGGCCAAGTGGATAGCCTGAGGCCCCGCCCCCCAGGCCGAGCGTAGCGCCCTAGGCCCTTCCCTCCGTCCTCCCGACTGCGTGGAGCGCCCGGAGCACCCCCAGGCCGAACGTAGCGCCCTAGGTCCTTCCCTCCAGGTCGAGAGGTGCCTCCCGAGGCCCTGACCCCTAGTCTAAACGGTGCGCCCAAGGCTCCGTCCTCCCGACTGCGTGGAGCGCCCGGAGCCGCCCCCCAGGCCGAACGTAGCGCCCTAGGCCCTTCCCTCCAGGTCGAGGGGTGCCTCCCGAGGCCACGACCCCGAGGCCAAGCGGTGTGCCCCAGGCTCCATCCCCCCGGCTGCGTGGAGCGCCCGGAGCCCCCCAGGCCGAGCGTAGTGCCCTAGGCCCTTCCCTCCAGGTCGAGGGGTGCCTCCCGAGGCGCCGATCCCTAGGCCAAGCGGTGCGCCCCAGGCCCCATGCCCCAAGCTGCGTGGAGCCCTGAAACCCTGCCCCCAGCTCACGTGCGCGCGAGGCCCCGCCCCTAGCCCCGTGTGCGCGCCTCGCAGCTTCTTCCCGCGCTGTTTTGTGTGCAGGTTTAGGTCCCCCGTTTTCTCTGCTTTCATCTGTTCCCGCCAAGCCGCCTGTGTTCCTCCACTGGCTCCTGGCGCCATGGCTTCCCGTGGGAGGAAGCGGAAGGCCGAGGAGGCAGCGGTCGTGGCGAAGCGAGAGAAGCCGGTGGGCGACCAGGAGGCGGTGGAGGAGGCGGTCATTGTCATCGAGCATTGGTGAGAGCCGGGAAGCGCGAGGGGGCCGAGGGTCTCGCGGGCCGAGACTTGCTCCCCAACATCCCGTCTCTTCTAGCACGAGCTGACGCGTCTACGGGCGCAACGCCGCGGCCCTGAGCCAGGCGCTGCGCCTGGAGGCCCCCAAGCTTCCTGTCCGGGTGAACCCCGCCAAGCCCCGGAGGGGCAGCTTCGAGGTGACGCTGCAGCGGCCCGACGGCAGCAGTGAGTGCGGATCCGGTGGGACGCTTGGAGTGCGGGGTCTGGGCGGTCGATGGTGATGAGTATGCGACCGACCCTCGACCCTCGCGCTTTCCCAGGTGCAGAGCTCTGGACTGGGATTAAGAAGGGGCCCCCGCGCAAACTCAAGTTCCCTGAGCCCCAGGTGGTGGTGGAGCAGCTGAAGAAGTACCTCTCCTAGGCTTGGGAGCAAGTCCTCAGATTTAGGTTTGGAATGGGCGACGAGGCGGGAAGTGCGCGGATGGGGTGGCCACTTAAATTTCACATATTTCATTTAGTTGATCCCAAGATTGTCCCTATTGGGTATGTGCCTTACCTTTCTGTTGGCAAGGGAGCGGGGAATGAAATGGGTGGAAAAAATTACTTAATCCTGGGTAGTAGGTATGTTCTTTAGTTGATAGTAAATTGTAATGGTTTCTTCATAAATGAAACCTGATGCCTTTTTTGGTGTGCATTCGTACTTTTATGCATTTATTGGTATAAATCTTGTGCGCATAAGTGCCTGCCCTACCTTCCACATTGCTTGCAGGGCTTCCGACTGGTTTGTTCCAGTTGGAGCCCCACGCCCCCCAAATAGGACAATGGGAATCTTGTTAAAATACAGATCGGGATTCATTCCATCTAAAATGAAAAGGGAAATTCTCAGCAAGGGGTCAAATTGGAAGTTAGAATCCCTGATTGTTACTAAATGTTTGACTCTTAACACAGCATTAGAGTACAAGGATTTGCCCATATCTTTATCCCTAAAGCTTTACACAGGCACTGAACATGTGTGTGGGGGGGGAAGTGTGATCCTTGGACTCCTGGGCTTAAGGGGGGGGGGGGTCGAGGGCGGAAGAGGGGACATATTGTCACCTGGTTTTGTGATTGCTTGGATCCCTAACTTTTTTCCTCCCTCCTTCATTCATTTGCAGCCCTCTGTCTCTGGCGATGGTGGAACATTTATGATGGGACATGGCCAAACTTCAGTCATGTGCCTGAAGCCACACAGTTCCTTTCCTTCCAGAAATGATGGTCCAGTTGTGAGGTGACGCTCTAGTAAAGCACTGGGGAAAGTGTTGGATTTGGCTTAATAAAAGGTTTTGATAAAAATATTTGAGTAATACAGTGAACTTTAATCATGTGGTAAGGGATAGACATGAGCCAGCCTTGTGGACTTGCTCTTGCTTGTATTTTTCGTAACCTAACATTGCTGTTTTCTGGAACTCCTGGAGTCAAGGATATAGAGCATATGAGATGCTTGATAAACCATGATACAGAAGTAAATAATTTATTTCTTAAAAAAGGCAACTATTCATTTGAGCTCACTTCTTGGAAGTGAGGGCAGTCCATCTTCCTGTGGAGGTTTTAGGTAGACTTCCTACACTGGGAAGAATGAGTTTCACACACATTAGGTGCTTAATGACCTCCTTTTACTACCTCTTGCTAATCTTCCACCATTACCACTTTTTGGAACATTTTCTCTTAAAAAGAACCCACACTAGAGGGTGTTATTTCTCATCTTTTCATGAATTTGCAGTGATGAGATGCCTTATGGCCTGGCCTTGTTTTGTTCCTATGGCCTACTAGCGCTGGAGACTTGTGGGATTGGTCTTTTTTTTAAAAAAGACCATTTTTTGGAGGGGGGCAGTGGGGCCTTCATGTCTGAGTGAAAGAGACTGCAAAGAGAATTGATAATTTTCTATCAATACTAAGGACTGTTGACTTCTGCCTGGCTCCCAAAGTCTAGAAGGGAGGAAGAGATCTACCTACAAAAAGCCAGGACAACTCTTGCCTCTTGTGTTAATGGGGTATGTGCCAGCCATCTGCCAGTAAACTGCCACTTTTCCAAGGCCCCTAACCTGCCCTCTCACTACCATGTAAGTATGTCTATTTCTGTTTCTGACTCTGAGGAAGGGTCAGGCCATACAGAGAGAATAGCAGTGGGTTCCACCTTCCCCTCTGCTGTCGAGTCCACCACATCAATCTCTTCCTCATTAGAGCTGATGGGAAATGACCCCAGCAGCTCTAAGTTAATGGTCACCTTGCCTGCCTCTGGAGCAGGAGATAACACTTCATCATCCATGGTTTGTGGCACATCCAGCCCCATCTTCCGCCAGTTTGAACAGGAAGGGGAAAGGTCTTTCTGATGGGAAGGACTGAGGGAGCCAGTGTGGAGGAGTTTGTGTCTCTGACCATCCAGGGGCCTGGAGCTGGTCATTTTCAGGTCTGCAGTCCAAGAACCTCCCGCTGAAAGTACTCCTTCACTCATTTCTGAGGACATGGCAAGGGGGCTTAGGGCACTGATGGGCTCTTTGCTCTCAGAGGGCAGGACAAGGAGGTTCAAGGGCTCACTCGGCCCTTTGTTCTCACTCACAGGTTCCTTTTCCAATCCTGGGAGCTCCCTGGGCCAGAGTTCTATATCTGGTAAACACCATTCTTCTCCTTCGATCCAGTTCTTCCCTGTTTCGGTCAGGTGGTAACTGGGGGTTCTGCAGCCCTCTATCCCGGGACTCTCCAGAGATGCTGTAGGTGGCTCAGTGTAAGAGCCACAGAGCATGAAGTCCAGCATCTCCTCCAGCTCGCTGGTAGCAGCAGCACTAGTGATTCGGTACTCCTCAGCTTCACAGGGCTGACTGAGCAGGGCTGTGTCAAATGCATAGGGCTCTCTGCAGTCAGTATCTAACACAGCTTCTTTCCCTAGAAGCTCTGGACTGGACTCACATTCGGACTTTACCACTGCCTGGTCTGGGGAGTGGCTAGCAGAGAACAGAATGTCTTGTAGCCTAGAGTACACAGGAGAGTTCTGACATAGGTCTGTTTGAGTAGAGGACATTTCTGGCTCATTTACCGAGGATGGCTGAGTCCTTAAAGGAGGCTCTAGCAGGTTTCCCTGAGGTTTTGGGATCTGAGGGCTGTCTTGAGAGTCTTTAAGGGGAGGCTCCTGGACCACCTCCCAGCAGGTTCCATTGACAATCTTCCGAAGCTTCACTCTTCCAATCTGCCCCTCCTCCACAGAATTGGAGTTAGGTACCCTGTCTTCTGGGCTCCGCTTCTTTCCAAGACCTGAGGGGCTTCGAGTACCCTGTAAGGGACTTGATCTCCCTGGTTTCTGCTTGTCCTCTGGCACTTCTTTCTTTATACTCTTTTGCCGCCAAAGACGACGACCAGGGGCTGTGGACACTGAGCTAGGTCCACTTAGAATGCTGGAAGGCTTGGAAGTGCACACATCAGGAGATGGCTTTGAACGGCTTAGCCTGATCTTTCTGGGTAACAGTCTCTCATTCACAGAGGGGTACAACCTGGGTGGAGAAACAGCAGTTTGACCAAGATCAGGGTCATTTTTGTTCTCCTTAGGCCCTTGACTGCCGTTTGTTGGTGAAGAGCTTTTTTCTTGTGTTGGGCAGGCTTTAGCCTTCCTTTTGAACAGAAGGGGGCCAGGCAAGTTGTCCACATTCTGTCGACTGCTCTTTCCCTGGGGGCTTTCCTCCTTCCCTGAGGACTTGAATCTCACGGTGCCAGGAGGACAAGGAGTCTGGTTAAGAGGCAGTGGAGTTTGAGGGCGGCGACTGGGTGCTACCACCCTGGCAGAGATCGGAGATTGTAAGCATTCCCGGTTTAGTCTGCGGCCCTGAGTGGTCTTCACCAGCTTTCCACCCTCTAGCTGAAGGGATTCTAGTTCGGACACACGAAGCTGACGGGCAGCTAAGAGCACATCCTCGGCTTCTTCTCGAGATACTTCCATCTCTGAGGTGTAGAGGAAGTCCACCAACTTCCTAAGTGTCCTGATCTTCAGGCCTCCCAGCTCCAGCACCACTTTCCGACCTTGAGCTGGTTTTTCCTGCTCTAGGCGCTCTGTGAAGAAGGGGCTGCAGGCTGATAGGATGCAGCAGTGGGCCGGGACTGCCTCACCTGTAGGGAAATCCAAAAACTTTATCTCACGCATACATGTGGTCATGCGCTAAGCACAGACACCATCACCCAAATACATAGCCCCTCTGCTCATTTCCCCTCCTTAGAAATTCAGGAAATTTGTTTTTTCTACCCTGGGAAACTGCTTTTACTTTTTGCCTTGCTAATTTGTTTTATTAATGAGAGTTTAGCTCAAACATTACCAATTCCTTCAGAAAGCACGCCTTTGGATTTGATGTTCCTGGACATGTAAAAGGAGGACATTATGCTGAGTGAAATATCTCAGTCACAAAAGGGCAAATACTGCATAGTGCCACTGTTGTAAAACAGGACTGACATCAGGGTTGGGGGGAGACTGAGAAAGATGGGATAAATTATGCATACTGCATTGAAAGAGATGAGGGAAAGAATTGTTTAATAAGGTGTCATGACAGGAGTCCAGAACGAAAGCTTAAGAGTGGAGTGGACTCTGTGTGTGTGGGGGGAGATTGTATAACAAAGAATTTTACTTTTCAAAGAGAAGAGCAAACCCGGGGGGGGGGGGTGGGGAGGTTGGACAGGGAGAAAAGTGCAACAATGAATGAATGGAAATCCAAAGTCTGTAAACTTTCATTAAAATTAATACAAATTTTTAAAAAAAGGTATTCTGGTTTCATGCTTGTCCAGCTCCACTGGAACTGTCCATCTCCTTCCCTGGAGGCAGTGTTTAACCCAGTCTAGAGCATTAGCACTGCTACCAGGCAGGGATCTGCCAAAGCCCCTTTCAGGTCCAGCACTTGAGAGAGTAAACATGCCTCAGGCCTGTATGTCTATATGAAAGTTTCACAACACTTCCAGTACATTTCTAGAAAATGAGCTCATGATTCCCTACCCTCCAAAAGCCCCTCTGTTCTTTATGTCAAAATAAAGTACCACGTTTACTCTGGTGTGTGAACCTGAAAACGAGATGTCACCTTTGATTCTTCTTTATAATATTTTCTAATAATTTTCATGAAGTAAGTACATCCTGAGTACTTACTATGATCCAGAAATTATTTCAACAGTTTTAGCACTATCAGTTCAGTTTCATGTTCACTACAAGTCTATGAATTAGCTACTAATATTAGTTGCTATGTGCCACTGAGTTGGAATCAACTCATAGCTGACCTTCTAGAGGGTTTTTCAGAGGCTGTAAATAGCATGGGAGGAGACTGCCTAGCTTACTCCCAAAGAGCAGCTAGAGGATTTGAACTACCTACTTTTGGGTTGGCAGTGCAACTCTACCGCTAAGTCACCAGAGCTCCCTGGTATTATTACAAATGAGTGAATTAAGGCTTATTTAATAACATGCCCAAGATTATACATCTTTAGGGTGGTGCAAATGGTTTTTTTAAAAAAATTAAAAAAATTTATCATTAATTTCAATGAAAATTTAGAGAGACTTTGGATTTCCATTCATTGTTACACTTTTCTCCACTCCCAACCCTACCCCCTAGTACACTACCCTCTTGGAAAAGTAAAAGAAAAATTCTTTCATTGTTATACAATCCCTCCTCCCAGGTCCACTCCACTATGCAGCCTTCACTCTGGACTCCTGTCATGACAAAAATACCTAATCACATATCCCTTTTAAACAGTTTTCTCCCTCATCTGTTTCAATGCAGTATACATTATTGAACCCATCTTTCTCAGTCTCCCCTCAACCCCGAGGTTAGTCGTGTTTTACAACAGTGGTACCATGCAGTATTTGTCCTTTTGTGACTGAGATACTTCACTCAGCATAATGCCATCCAGGGTCACCCATTTTGAATAATATTGCATAAGTTCCTTGTTTTTGAATGCAGCGTAGTATTCCATTGTGCGAATATACCACAGCTTCTCTATCCATTCGTTTGTTGATGGGCACTTGGGTTGTTTCCAACTCCTTGCTGTTGTGAACAAAGGCGCGATAAATATGGGTGTTCGTATACCTGCTTGGATGTCAGTTATGGTCTCTTTGGGGTATATTCCGAGTAGTGGAATTGCTGGGTCAAATGGTATCTGTATTTGGAACTTGTTGAGAAAGCGCCATACCGCCTTCAACAGTGGTTGCACCATTTTACACTCCCACCAACAGTGAATATGGGTTCCAGTTTCTCCACAACCTCGCCAGCATTTGTTGCTTGCTGTTCTATTAAATTTTGCTTTTCTGACTGGGGTGAGATGATATCTCATAGTTGTTTTGCAAATGGTTTTTAAACCCACCCAGGGAAATAAAGCCCTGGTGACCTGTTTCAGTGAAGATCCTTCAATCTAAATTACTTTGGTTCCGCCACACAGCGGCTCTCCATCAGATTCTGATTCTGGAAGAGACTGCCTATCTTTCTCCTGCAGATGCTGACGTTCTCAACTTTGTGGCCATTCTGGTTAGCAACCTGATAGTTACACGGGGATGCTATGAATCATAGCTGACTAGATGGCACCTAACAACATCACCAGCAAGGCTCCTGGCATAAAAACCTATGGTCCTACCCTGCAACACATGGTGTTATCAGAAATTGGACTTCACCTCATAGAATTAGGATTTTTGGTTATCTTTTAAAGCAGCATATAAGGGGGAGGGAGAGGGTAGGAAATGTGCAATAATGAATTAATTTAAAACAAAAAGTGTATTTAATAGTTTAAAAAAATAGTAAAAAAAAACCCCAAACAACCAAAAACAGGTAAGATTTGGACCCAGGAAATCTGTCTACAGAGTCCAAGATCTTGGGCTCTTCATAAGTTTCAAAATTCTCTTTAATAGCTCATACACATCTATTTCTATTGTTGTTATTTGATGTCAAGTCACCTGTGGCTGTACAACAGCCCTAAACCCTGCTCTATCCTGTGCCAATCTTACTGTCTCTGACACACCTACTTCCATTACCCCAGTCACTGAATCAATCCATCTCATCGAGGATCTTCCTCTCTTGAGCTGTCCCTCCACCCTCCCAAGCATTATGACCCTCTCCACGACTGGTCGCTCCTTGCAACATGTCAGACAAATCTTCAGAATCCTTGCCTCCAAGAAGCAGCCTGGTCTTGCCCTCTCTAGGACAACCTGTTCATTCTCTTAGCAGTCCATGGTATATTCAACACTCTTCTCCAGCACCACAACTCAAAGGCATCAATTATCCTTTCTATCATCCCTGATGTAATAGCAGGTAATTACAAAGACAGCTACAGGTTTGAAGCCTGTACTCCAGACCACTGAGGATCATCTGGGCACATCTATTTCTACTCATCCTTAATGCTAGTACTTTAGGCCAACATCCTCTCCTAGATTATGGAACAACATGTCTGGGCTCATGAAGAATTCAATAAAGCACATACAGCAAGAGTGTTGTTCTGAAAACAGGCATTTGATCACATCAACTGTTTTAATGTCTTTCAATACATTTCCCAGTATCCTGATGAGCTCTAGATTTTAGTGCCTGTCTTTATCCAGACTTCTTTGGTCAATATACTTATTGCAACATGTGCTCCAGCAATACAAATACCTGGGTACACCTCTGGAAGTCCACCTATTCTGATTTGTCCTTTTCTCCCCCTCCCCTTAATTCTCTTTATTAAGGGCTTCCAACTTAGGAGTTAATTTTTGTTCTTATTTTGAGAATTTCCTTCCTTCTCTTATTACTTTGTTGATACTTTCCCCTCTTTTTTTATTAAATTTTATTAATTTTAATGAACAGTTAGAGATTTGGGGTTTCCATTCATTCATTGTTACACTATTTTCTCTACCTTCCCCCTCAGTTCATTCCTTTTATTCCCCCCCTTGAAAGTCTGTTTTAATTGTCCCATTGCCACAGTGCTTGTCAAAGCCAGTTCTGATTAATCTCCTTTGTCAGTGTGTCCTTTGCCATTTCCTATCACTCCTCCCTGAGAGAGACTTCACCCTGATTCATAAGGAAAAGGGGACGGTGTATTCTCTTAGCTACTTCCTGCTGAAAAGGGACGCTGTAGGCTTCAGGTGATTTGTCCTTTTTATGTCATGTCCCTGCCTACAGACCTCCCTAAATCTAGGAGATAATCCTTTTTTATACTTCCTTATTGGCCTGTAAAGGAATACAGTACCGTGGGCTATGCTGACTGAACGGCTTGTTAGTGGTTTGAATCCACCTGCTGCTCCTTGAGAGAAAGATGGACAATGTCCTGTTAACATCTTCAGCCTTGGAAACCCAATGAAGAGTCAAAACTGAAACCAATAGCAGTGGGTTTGTCTTTATTGGTCCATAACCAAAAAATCCAAACTTGGATTTTGACTCAGTAATCCCAAAGAACAGGCTGTAAGTTTTGAAAAATTTTGTGATTTTATTGAAATTAATTTTTCATTCAATAATTCATACACACTTGTTCTATAACATTTTAAATAACAAGATAATAATTTTTTCCTATTTCTCTGTAATTCTGATTTCCATTAATCGTTCTAACCTCTGCTCATCTTCTCTTTCTTTAGATACTATGTTGATCATGTTCTTATTGGATATTACCTTTCCCTTCACCGCACTGACTATATGTGCTTAGTATCTATTTACTCATTTTCACTCCCCTCTCTCTTCATTCCATTCAAAGATTCTGTCTTATAACCATCCAAAAATGATTCTATGTATACACATTTTGTTAGTTTTTTTCTAACAGCAGTCTTATGAACAGGAGGTCAGTTGTAATACCAACCCAGAGAGAGGTAGTTTCTATCGACCAGCTTGCTCTTTGGGTAAAAAATGGGCAATCCCCTCCCATGTGATTTACAGCCTCTGAAATGTTCCAGTGTCAGTTATGGGTTACTTCCAACTTGACAGAGACTTATAAAATATTTGTCCTTTTGAGACTGACTTATCTCATGCAGCATAATGTCCTTTTTTAATTTTTTAATAATGCCCTCTTCACATGCATCCATCTTATGCAGTTTCTTGGACTTTTTTTTCTTTTTGTAGCATAGTATGTTTAGTACTCTTCTTCAGCACCACAACTCCAAGGCATTGTAAGTCTTCTGTTATCCTTAATAATCTAGTTTCTCTTCTGCTAACTGTGCATCTTCAGTTATATTTGATAGTCTATTTACACCATAGATTAAAGCTCCTATGTTTTCCCGTTTGCCCCAATTTTTCCTTTGATGTTACTTTAGGTTTTATAGTAAGTCTTTGAGCCATTTAGTTTTTGTACATGGTATAAGGCAAGGATCTTGTTTCAATTTGTTGCAAATAGATGCCAGTTTTCCCAGCACCATTTGTTAAAGAGTCTCTTTTCCCTATTTAATGGACTTCACTTCTTTGTCAAAGATCAGCTCACCATAAGTGGGTGGGTTTATTTCTGGGTTCTCAAATCGATCCCATAGGGAACTCTGCTGGCACAGTCTATAGCTAGCTGCACCGCTAAGCCAAATGTTGTTCGTCCCCAACTATTGGAACACACCAGTGACGCCATGGGAGAAAGATGGGCAATCTCCTCTCATTGTGATTTCCAGCCTCGGAAACCCAATGGAGGGTCATTATGAGTGGGACTGATTCAATTAACAGTGAGTTTGAGCTTTGAAGGATTCTATTCCATTGGTCTATGTACTATTACTGAAGTGTGTTGATTACTGCAGCTGTGTAGCAGGTTTTGATAACAGGAAATAGGAGGCTGACTACTTTGTTTTTCTTCTATAACAGTCTTTACTTATCCAGGGTCATTTTTGTTTCCATATAAAGTTAGTGATTACTTTTTCCATCTCTTAGAAGGGGGATGACAGGATCTGTCATCAATTGAGACAGCCTGTACCCCTTGTGGACATGAACTGACACATCTTTATCCAAAGGAGTGGCTGATGGGTTTAAACACTGACTTTTTTTTTTAAACAATGACTTTTGAGTTAGCATCCCATCACTTAAGCACTGTAACACCAAGGTTCCCTCATAAACATATACTTACTTAATTTTGCTATTTATATTTTTCCATAAAAATCCAATTCTATGAGTTTGATTCTTAGAGATCCTACAGGACAGTGCATGTCCAACGCTGGAAATCTTTATGGAAGGAGACTGCCGTACCATTCACTACTGAAGTGACTGATGGTTTTAGAACATTAATTCCCTTCTAGTTAGCACTTGAGCATTTAACTACTGTGCCAGGGATTACTAATTAACATTACATAGTTACGTCACATTTCCCCCCCACCCATGATATCCTTAAAGACTTTGTATCTCTGCAGATTGCAGAGACTTATACAACGTTAAGCTGAACAAAAGAAGGGAACACTGCATGGCTTAAAAATAAGTATGCGTATGTGTCAAGGTTGTATTTCTTCCCACCCCCCATACCTATTAAATCTGTCTGCTGAAAAAAAATAATTCAAGAAGCTGTACTATATGAAGGAGTATAATGCAGATGACACAACCTTGCTGAAAATGAAGAGGGCTTGAAATATTAGCTGCAGAAGATCAAAGACTACAGCTTTTACTATGGATTACATCTTAACATCAAGAAAACAAAAATCCTCACAACTGCACCTACACGCTGACATCCTAATAGATAAGAAACATTTAAATTGTTAATAATTTCATTTACTTTGATCCACAATCAAAACTCATGTAACATTAGTCAAATCAAAAGATATGTTGCATTGGGAAAATTTGCTCTCAAGGGCCTCTCCAAAGTGCTAAAGAGCAGGGGTAGCAATTTAAAGACCAAAGCGTGCTTGAGTCAAACTATGGTCTTTTCAATTCTTATGTATTTGAAAGTTGGACATTGAATAAGGACAGCAGGAGAATAGTTAATGACTTTGAATTGTGAAGCTGGAGAATACTGAATATCCCACGGATTGTCAAAAGAACAAACAATTCAGTCTTGGTGGAAGTGCAACCAAAGAGCTCCTTAGAGGCAAATATGGTGAAACTTTGTCTCACATACTTTTGACATGTTTTCAGAAGGGATCAGTCTTTAGAAAAAGACATGACACTGGGATTTATGGTGGGTCAGAGAAAGATAGGAAGAACCTCAACAAGATAGACTGACACTGTAACTATAACAAATTGTCTTGAGCATAACAGAGATACTGAGGATGCCACAGGATAGGCAAAGTTCAGATCTATTGTTTACAGGGTCCTAAGAGTCATAGTTGACTGACAGTTGACAACACCCTAACAATGTTAGTTGTCATCATCCTTTTGTAAACTTGAGTTCCAGAGAGAAGATACTAGCCTATTTATAACTTCAATACTAAGTAACAAAACTAAGACCTAACTCAGTTCATCAAATTCCCAGTCTTGGGCATTTTACCAGGTTCTACCCCACAATAATTTACTATTTTCAGTATGATGGGGAGGGGGGGAATAAGCTATGTTTTTAGTTCAAAAAACAATTAAAGCCACCAATTTGGGAGTAAGGGGGAGAAACAAGAAAACAACCCTTATGCAACAGCATGGCAAGAAAATGGGAAAATATGAAATAGCTTTATCTTATGCTTAAATTAGGGAGCTCTGGTGGCCTAGTGGTAAGAATCTGTGTTGCAATCCCAAAGGCACACCGTTTGAATCCACCTGCTGCTCCACGGGAGAAGAGTGGGCAATTTCCTCCTGTGCTATTATTGCCTCTGAAAACTCTTTGGAGGGTCAGCTATGGATAGCTTCCGACTCGACGTACACAACAATATATTGTTCTTAGTGTAGTCACAGTACTGTACTGTTCTTAGTGTATTTAGAGTACTGTATGCTTTACTTCTTAACTTTTAAAAATGTGCAGGGGGAGCGGGAAATTAATAATGGGATAGTACAATTTGATGGGTGAGGGAAATTGGAAGAATCTGTTCTGGAAAACAGTGTATTCGAATTTTGTAAATGGGAGGGGTGGGCAATGAGAAGGGTGCAACAATGAATGAATGGAAATCCAAAGTCTCTAAATTTTCATTAAAATAAAAAAAATTATTAAAAAGTTTAAAAACACACACACAAAAAGAATTTTATAAATAAACTAGTATCATCATCATAATAATAATTTTTAAAAAAACCTGAGATACATGCTCCGTCCTAATAAATTTGACCATCATAAAAAACTTTTAGTCACTCAAATACATTGCTTTATAGCATTTATTACAATTGTACAATGTGATTATTTACATCTTCTCTAATCCTTGCTGTACTCTTTGCCTTTACCATATCCACCCATTTGCCACTCTCTGCTCCTTCCTCCTCCCCCCAAATCACTGCCCACCCTCCACAACTGTTCCTACCTGTGTGTGAATCTTTCCTTAGTCTTTTTTTCTATTTTTTCCTCCCCCCATCAGTTATGCATGTCCTGTTCCAGATTGTTAACTGCAATTTACACAATATTTGAGCATCCATTCACTTCAGACTGCCCTTCCCTTCACCTGTTCCAAAACTGTTCATTATCTATCCATTTATTTCCTGCTCGCCCTGTTCACATGTTCTCAATCTTCCTAACTATTCCTTTAATACATGATTCACATTTAATAGCATTTGTTCATGAAACTTTTAATATTAGTTTAATTTTTCAAGAGAAAAGCCTAGGCACAATTTTACTCTTGTAAAACAGCAATTGTCCTATAAACTGCTCTCTTCCAAGGGGCTTATAGTACTCAAACACAATGACAGTGCATTTTCCTGGTTTTGTCTTCATCTTATCATATGGTGAGTTTTCAATTGAGTGCCACCAGTGTCTTACCTTCTGCCCGCAGAAGGACATCACAGAACACACCGCTCTGCTGCTGGTGATGAAGCTGCAAAAAAGCCAATCGGAAGAATTGAGGATTCTTGTACAGGATTTTGGAGTTGGCAGGAGAGCACATGTTGGTAGTCTCTTTACAAACCTTCTTGGTTGTCACAGATGAGATTCCTGTGGGTGAGAGAATACATTTCAGAGACTTAATTTTATCTAATTTGCTTTTATCTTTAAAATGGCAGGGATATATTGGAAGTGAGAGATGGTATGAGTTGAGAAAATCAGTGTAGCACTTGGTGCCAAGCGTGTTTTTTAAGGATCGAATATTCATAGTAGTTACATGTGGGAGTAGTTACAAGAGAAGTCTAGGTTTCAGTGTTGGCTCTGCTATCCGTTACCCTAGCTGGATGATCTGGGGCAAATACCTCGACTTCTTTAAGTCTCACTTTTCTCATCTTTGTGAGCAGTAATGTTTGGGAATGGTAATGATCATACTTATTGTGATAAAAGTAACTGACAAACATATATTAAACGGGCCAATGCCTAGAAAGTATGTGCCTAGCACATACCTGTTGTTTTTGTGTACTGTTGATCTGAAACAACTCACAGGTGACTCTCCAGCGGGTTTTCAGAGGCAGTATAATCGCATGGAAGCAGACCGCCCATCTTTTTCCAGCGGAGCTGCTGCTGGATTCAAGCTTCATGCCTTCAGGTTGGCAGCACAGCTTCTTACCACTAGGCCACCAGAGCTACCTTGGTACATAACCATCACCCCAAAAATGGGAGCCATTCTTGTATTCATTCACATTCCTACTGAAACGCAACTCCTGCTGTCTACACACCACTTTTCAAGTCCATGGATATAATCCTCTGTTTAACACTTTTAAATTAGCTCTATGGGGGGGCTCTGGTGTGTCCCGAGGTCCCGCAGGGATTCGGCTACGTCTCTCTGGAGGTTCTAAGCCACCGGTGGCTCAGAGAGAGAAAGGTGAGCTGTCTCCTCCCGTGTGATTTACAGCTCAGAAGCCCGGGGGAGGGTAAGCAATGAACTGGCTCCCACTCAGGCAATGAATGAGGTCACACACACCTTTGCTCTAAACTCCTTTTCTCACACTCACCAGCAGAGGGTGCACGATTAAGAAGTAAGTGAAGCTGGACTAGGTGGGAAGGAGGTTTCCGAAGGTAAGACGTTTCCCAGTTCAGAGGTTCTAGAATAAAGGACGTCTTTGTGACCCTGGAAATTAGCAAAGAACTTGGGCCTTTATTTCGGTGTTTCCGTCTGGCGAACTGCCTCGAGAACCAGAGAATAAGATTAGGTGGCACTGTACCCTTCCCAAAGCAAACCTGCCACCCTGATTTCCCGTTAGTACCTTGCGGGCTTGTTGCACTGAATCGCCCAGGCGGACTGCACAGGCGTGATCCTTTCTTACCAGGCACTTTTCTGTATGGTGGCAACAAAGGTCTGAATTAAAGGGGTCAAAACTATCAGGAAAGAGCAGAACAGTACATTACCAAAGTGCAGTCTGGATTCTGACACTGATGCGGGTGGAGGATGACAGGTAATTGCAAGAGTCCACGGTCCCGCCCGGGGAGGGGAGGGGGACACCCCTTCCACCCACCGAGGCCTGGCCCTGCCCCGTCCCCACCCGGGAATCTTTCCGCAGGAGGGCTTGCTCCTCCTGTCCACTTCACTGTGCTCGATCCCCTGGCCAGCCCCACGCGCGCGCGTGGAGGGTGAGCAAAGCTGCACAGGTGGGCTTCTGGCCTGAGCGGTTCCCGTTGCCCTCCAGAGCCGAGAAAATAAAAAGAAAAGCCAAGTTGTGAGAGCAGCCAGGTTTTCGGGGTGGGCCTTGCAAAGCAGAGTCCTCCGCCCGCGGGGGGCCCGGCCCAACTCCTTTCAAGAGACCTTTGGCGCGCGATGGCTTCTGGGAATGGAGCGTGAATGACCCGGGGTGGGGGTGGTCTGAATTTGGGGTTCGCCCTCACAACTCGCGTCGGGTCACAGGGGCTTGCACCCACCCCGGCACGCTCCTACCACTCAGGCAATCACGTGCACTGGGGGTGGTGGTGGTGGTGGTGGCCGCGAGAACCCAGGCTGCGTGGCCCGCCCACGCCACGCGCCCCCGCTTGTCCTCGCGCGGGCAGCGTCGTGGGGCTGACGTCCGTCCAGCCCTTCAGCCTACGTCGGCTGAGTACGTCATCCCCATTGGCCGAGAGCGACTCGGACAGCCAATCAGAGAGCGAGGAGAACTTTGGGCGGGAGTCTCGAGGGACTTTCCTACCCTACGGCGAGAGGCGGCCGGAGCGTGAGGGGAAGCGGTCACTTTGGCTTCGTGTGACCAGCAAAAGCAGCCTGCGCCGAGGGTCAGCAAAGCGCAGGCCCAAGGTACTTGAAGACCCCCTGAGGCCTGTCCTCGCACCCCCGAAAGGCTGTAAAGAGGCCTGGCAGGCTCAGAACGCCCCCCTTCCCCGGGGCTAACGGAGCAGCAAGTCCCCGTATTCTAGTCTCGATAGGTCCCCGAAGCCAGGGAATGTTCTGGAACAAGGTTTATGAGCTGCGTTCTGAATCCATCTTTCTCTTTGCTTCCATGCCCTTAGAGCAGCTCTGGTGGCGTGGTCTATAGCGAGTTGCTCTGCTAACTCAGAGGCCTGAGGTTCGAATCCGCCAAGAGCTCCCCACGAGAGAGAGCGAGGCCTGGGGCGTGGGGGATGTTTGAGTAGCACAGTTCCTGACTGCTGGGGACTAAAATAGAAATGATTTCAAGAGTAAACGTTGGAGTTAGAGACCTGCTATGTGCCACGGGGCGGGAGGAGCTTCGGTCTGCCCTCAGGTGATGTTCCCACCTGGGCAGGAATGGCTGCACGAGGACACAGGGGCCAGGGAGGAGGCAGGGGACGCAAAGAGGAGAGGTGAGTTGTGCAACACATTCTAATATGGCTTGCTTCATACCCTAATGAGAAAAAAAAATTGGGGGCATTTCGGTTATTATTTCTCCTCTTTGGAGACCTACTACGAAAAGGAGCAGACGATTTTCAGCTGCCGTTGTCATTTTGAAAAGGAAGCAAGTCATGAAAGTGAAAGGACATAAAAGTTAGCAAAAGGACAGATTTCAGATTTTGTCAGCAGCATAAAGAAAAGGGAGGGAAGGGAAATGCTGAAGGCAGAATATTACATTCCTTGTTTATATAGCATCTGTTACTGTGGCATCAAGACTTGGCGAGGCAGGTGGGGTCTCAGGATGGGTGATGCAGTGCAAGCACTCAGAAGGGGAAAAAATGGTAACTCCTGCATATATTGCCATCAGGAGGAAAGGAAATTACCTTTTTTATTTTGTTTTGTTTTTTAAAAAAGCATAATCAAGGAGCCTTGGGAGCACAGTGAACTAAGAGTCGGGTTGTTACCTGTAGGAAGTTGGAACCCACCTGCTGTAACATGGGGAAAAGACAGAGTGATCTGTTTTAAAGATTTACAACCTTAGGGGCACCACTTCTCTGTCCTGCAGACTGTGAGCCAGAATCAGCTTGATGGCAAGTGGCTGGGTTGTTGTTGTTTTTTTTTAAATTTTGTTTTTGAGAAGAACAATTTTTATGCCTTTTTTTTTTTTAAAAAAAAAAAAAGGAACCCTTTTAGTTCAATTTTGTGTTAGAATTTCGACCGGAAATGGTAAATGGCCATTTCTCCCAGGGCTTCCAAAATAGCAGACCTTGGATGGTTATATGTAGCCACCAGAGGGTAGAAAGGAGTAAAAATATTTGCTATCTTTTGTTTGGCTTTTTAGCAGTTATTTTTTGGACTTGAAGTAGGTTGTTTTTTTAAATTGTGTACTTCCTGACTTGATAGTTATCGTGTTCATAGATTCGAACTGCTTACCTTTGTGCTGACAGCACAGTTCCTTACCATTAAACATCAAGAGAACAAAAATTCATCTGAGCAAATAAGATTAATGAAATGAGACATTGCATTATTTAAAAAAACCCAACAAAACTTAAAAACCCAAAACAAAAAATCTTCACCACTGGACTGATAAGTAATGTAATGATATGTAGAGAAAAGACTGAAATAGTTGACAGTTGAATCTTACGTGGATTAATAGTCATAAGTAACAATCAATACCAGGAGATGAGATGTAATTCATTGGGCAAGTCTTCTGTCAGGCACCTCTCTAAAATAACTGTGCAGTAGTGATGTTAGTTTGAAGATGGAAGTGTGCCTGATTCAAGTCATAGTCTTTGTAAGTGGTCACTTGCTGTGCCTCTGAGTACTGGACAGTGCATAAGGAGGAAAGAAGAAGAATTGATGCCTTTGAGTTGTGGTGTTGGAGTACGAAATATGCTATGGACTACCAAGAGAACAAACAGATAATATCTTGGAAAATGTGCAGCCAGAAAGCTCCTTGGAAACAAGGAAGGTGAAGCTTTCTCTCACATACTTTGGGCATTTTGCTAGGTGAAGATATTCCTTAGGAAGAGACATCATGCTTGGAAAAGTGGAGGGGCAGCGAAAGAGGGGAAGACCCTTAATGAGGTAGATTGACACCATGACTTCAGCAATGGGTTCAAGTATGTCAGAGATGATGAGAATGGCACAGGATAGGAAAGGGTTCAGATCTGTTGTTCATAGGGTTGCTGAGTTGTGCTCAACTCGACGGCACTTAACAGTTTTAGTCTATTTTAGAAGGCGATTCAGCCATCAATTTGTATAATAATTTTAATATTTTAAAAATCCTTTAAATACATCTTTGAATTTTTCAACTTTTCATGGTAGCTTTTAAAATATATATATACATAAATATATAAAGATATAAACATATAAAGATATAAACTTTGAGAGTTGTAAAACCAAGCCCTAAAGGAACCAACTCATGCACTAAGAACAAAACAGCAAAATAAAACCAAAAAGAAAAAAATTCAGACAAAAATCACCCTACATCTCTAAAATAGATTCTCAATATGCTATCTTTGTCTTGCTACGACTCTCGTCCACATCTTTATCACTATAGCATCTTTTAACTAATGGCTTTCAGTTTTGCTTCTTTTTAATATGTGTTATATGAATAGCCAGATTTTTTTAAACTGTTGTTGTTATATGCTGTTGAGTCGCCTTCAACACATAGTGACCCTGTGTAC